TTTTTTTTTCCCACTTTTTCGGCCATTTCATTGATACACTGCAAATGAAAGTTAAAGAATAACACATAGTCTTCTATCTCTTCCTTCCTTCAAGTGCTTGGCGCCCTAGGAAATTTTAAACCCTAGCAGACATCTTGCACAGGTAAGAGAAACCAAGAAAGACTGGCTGCAAATACGCTGAAAAACAGGAAAAGCAGTGGACAGGAGGTAACGTATTGAGCAATTCATGACAAAGGAGTGGAGATTGGAAAAGAAGAGCACCAGGACGACCCCAGTGTTCTGCAGCCTTGGCCACAATAATCACGGGAAGACAAAGTGATAAAAAGCGTTACTGCAGGTCAAAGGTCACGGTGCTACTTTAGTTACCTAAAACTCATCCTGCTGAAACTGAGTACTTCTTTGCGTCATTTTTCAAATGAGACTTTCGGAAATTTATATTGCTTAGAATAAGTGCTGCGATTAAGAACGAAAGCTTACTTCCAGGCGGTGGTTCCCGAAAATGCACTTTGAACCACGCCAGCAGCGCTTCCAGACTTGGGAACAGTTGTTGCCTGAAGCGAAATCCCTCGGACGTGGCAGTCATATATTCATGTTTCGGTTTAATATGTGGCAAATATGACAACACAAATTTTCCTGGATAGTCCTGTGACGGCGTCATCGTATAACTGAAAAAAAAAAGATGAACTTTCCAATTATTCCAGAAAACTTACCAGAGTGCAATGTTTTTCAGTCAAAACAAAGATTATGAGAGGACTGCCAATCAAAACGCCGAAACCAATTCACTGATGTTCGATCTCCTTGCCAAGAATATTCCCTGTTTGTATTTTTTAAATTTCTACAACACTTAGATTTGAGTGTTTAAAACTTTCTTCTCAAATAATAAGAAAAGCTGATTTAAAGCATACGGTATCCGTTGCGGGTTTCGCTTCTTCTCATCAAATAAGTACGCCTCAATTGCTTCACGTTCTTCGGCTCGTTTTCCATCCAAGAAATATTTGTGTGATTGGACATCGCGCGCTAGTGCAGCCATCGGCTGGACGTGGCGCGCAAGAATTTCATCCAAGTCTTCAAATTCCTGTAATCATTTCTGGTGAAGAATTCTTTGCGTGCTAAGGTTAATTTTACAGAAAAACAAGCCAACCTCTGAACCAATCAGCAGTGTTTTGCCAAGGCTGAACTGATGTTGCTTGCCTTCTTCCTTGACATCAATATGCTGATAAATGCCATCAGCTACTTTCCATGTCACAGTAAGATGCGAAGCTGATTTCGAACTTGGCCGAATGATTGCCTCACCCTAAAAAATTGTGAGAATTAAAATGCATTTCTCTTTCGTTTACAGGGCTTCATAACAATTTTAATTCAGGCTCCATAAACTAATACTGGGTATGTTTTGGTCATTCCTACATACAGGGAGAAAAAGCGTCAGCTGGGATGACGATGTTGCATTTTGGGGCCTTGTTGATTATCAAGCATGCGTGATTGATAATTTTTTGCATGAAGCCCGGCCATTTTTTGGTGAATGTTCGCTCATCAAGAAAATGCAAATTTGAAGGAATTCGCGAGAAGATTATGAAATCTACAAAATGCGCTTGCTTCTAGTTTGCTATAAAATCGAGTATTTGTCACGTGTGCGTGAAGGAAATTTCACCGCCAAGCTGAAATATATTCTTATAGAGTTTCAGTTTCGCAGATTATCCAGTAGGCGAAATAGTCACTTTGCTTGTCTGGTAGGTGAAATATTTTTGAAATGCTCTAAGTCATGGCACAAACGCAAATCGAAACTCAATTTGGGTATGATTTCCCACATGAACAATAAATATGCTGACAAAATTCCAGCTACTGTTTTCCGGTTAGTTATGCGTTTTTGCCGTGCAGTGCTAGAGCGCTGCAACAGGCAGCAGAAACGCATACTGCAACGACCCTATCAGTGTGTGTATGTTTGTGTGTGTGTGTGTGTGTTCGTCTGTCCGGGTGCTTCAACTCGCCAACCACGCAAGATTTGAAGCTGAAATTTTGCTAGTGTGCTCCCCAGCCAAGTGCTACCCCAGGACTGCAGTATCAACCCTCACGCATGTCTGGGCCCCACGTACGAGCACGTGAAAGTTTTGGCATGAAAATTGCTAACTCGGGAATGAAAAAAGCTAGAAGGCTGAAACCCTGAGGGAATGTTCCCTACCCGTGTATGACAAAACAAATTTCAAATTCAGCTGCTCAGGAGCGCTCGGGGCTTACGTACGGGCACGTGAAAATTATGGTGGGAAAATTCATAACTCGAGAATGAGAAAAGCT